TTTTGGTTTGGTTTGGTTTGGTTTTTTCTGGTAGGCGTAACTCCTTGTTCATAAAGTTTGGGTGGGACCTCACCTATTCGCTGGCTTGGCAAGAGGGCTAAAACTGCATAAAGATTTAAAAAAACTCATAAAGTCCAAGGCAAAGGGGATGCTGAGGACACTGAAAAGACTTTGGACAGTATGTCCACAAGCCTGAATTTATAAGTACCCAGATATGGCAGTGGGGATCAGAGTGACATGTCAAGACAGGACCAGAATAGCGAGTAATGCTCAGACTCAGAGCAGCCTGAGGAGCCTGCTGTAATTTGGCGGTGTCTTAATTATGCTGGAATTCTTTCTAATTTCTCTGATAGACCCAGATGAAAAAGATGTTTCAAACCCACTGTGTGCCACCATTTTTCCAGATGTTCTGACCACTTGGTGATAGAGCATGCTGTCTTCCTTAGATCTGCTGTTAGTGAGAAGGGTCTACAGGGTACTATAGTATGCACTACATTTCTCTAATGCAGACTCCATCAGACTGCTTATTAGATTGAACAATATTTTCAATATATTAAAAGGGAAATACTATTTGTACTTGATGATATTGTGATAGTAAATGTTTGCATAGGGGTTAGAAATTAGTGTTATATTTATCATTCAGGTGATAAAGGTATTATCGTATTCCAGTTTGATAGAATTTGTTTACTACTGATAAAAGACCCTACTGCTGGGTATGCTGCTCCTGTTTAAATGAATGCTTGCTTCCTTGTATGTCACATGGTTACAGTTTATCGTTCCTTCAGATGTCTTCACTTGGTTTCAATGTAATCTCATGACTGAATATCCTCCCTTTGCAACCACATTTTGAGTCAACTCATACTCAGCATGCCCTTTATTCAGGCTGTGGAGGAAATTTTTTAAAAGCCACCTACATCACCTTGAAAAAAGTAATGTGGACTACCCAGTCACATAAGGACTTCTGAAATTATTTCTGTAACTTCGGGCAGTGGTGGATTGTGTACAGCTGTGACCTGCATGGGAGAAGAAAGGATAGACAGTCAATGCCTAGCTGGGAGTGCTAACGTGGAATGAATGCAGTGTCTTCAAATCCAATCACATAGATCATTTCATAGCCAATGACAAAATATGTCAGATCATTAGGATATGGTCCAGTTTTCATAGCGTTTCCCAGTCTATGTGGAATTCAGTTCCAATGGTGGATATCTAAGGCACAGAAGATGCTTTGCAATCATTGTGAGTGGCCCATTTTAAGGGCATAGACAATTGGAAAGAGCTGAGAGGATAGCAATGAGACTGATCAAAGGATTGGAAGTGTGATCTACTATATCCCTTTAGATGCAAAAGAGTGAAATAAATCATGGAGATGGGAATATTGGCACTGAGTGCTTTTTATGTATGATATTTGGAGGTTGCATAAAATTTAGACATTTTGAGATGGATTTTAAATGGTATAAAATGCAATTAAGTAACTCATTTTAAGAAAAATCAGTGACAAATGTGTGCTTATCCCTTTTAAAATCGTCCCTTTTAAATGTAGAAAATATATTAAACCTTCGGATCATAATATAGCTAACAGAACCAGGAAGCAAAGAATAAAATGTAAAAATGACAATTTAAAAAGTCCCAATAGAAACATTAATTGGGAGGCAGCATCACAGATGAAAGATATGCAGTTTTCCGCAACTGCCTTCAAATCATAGTCACTTAGAAATCTAAGAACCCCGATGCTCACCTTCGTTTTCAAAAGCTTTTACTTTCTGTCTAAAAACCAATTATGTCTTGAATGGTAGTGCTTATGGAAGGTGTTGTATTTGAATTCTTAGATTGTGGTTAGTTCTGCAATTAGCTGTGGGACTGACTTCAGTTAACTGCTTGTGATACAGAAGTTTAGGATGAAATATACTCTTTGTATTCCTCTGTGCATTATGGATTGTTTCATCGTTTTTGGAGGCAGGCTATTTCCTAACTTGCATTTGCTATATGAAGTTCTTTACACATGGGGCCAACAGGGACAGCCATGGCAGCTTTGGTCCTTTGCAAGAAGATGAATATTAAATCCTTTGATCTGAAGAAGATTCAGCCTCATGGTTCTGGGAAGACTTGATTCTGTTTCAGATGCGTGAATAATACTGAGGAATTCCTTTGCTCAGGTTGTCATCCAAGCCCATGTTTTGCTCTGCTGTTTTGATTTTGATGCTAATATTAAAGGGGTTTTGGGGCTTAATGGAAAGATTGTGGACAAAGTTTAACTTACACAGTGCTAAACTTCAAGTGCCTGTACTTTCCCATGAAAAACATACATTAAAATTATGTGCTGTTCAGATGGTTTCATAGTAAGCATATTTGGGCTTCTTTCCAAAAGAAACCAGCACTTTAAAGCTCTGTTCATACATGCATTAAATTTCTACTGTTTCATAAAACGGCAGTACAAAGCATGTTATTGACAGTTCTGTTCTTGAATTCAGCAAAATTAAGATGAAATATTGGGTAGAAATTCAGTCTTCCTTGGAGAAAGATGTTGCTAAGACCACACTGGTAGGCAATGGAAAACAGGTTTTAATTTATGAACTTTGCCATTTCTCAAGAAGTGTAAAGGTTATAACTGCATCTGATTAAAAAGAAAAATTGTGCATGAACAGTACACCATAAAGCATTGTCCCAGGATGCTCCAAACAGCTATGAACCTTGCAAACAGTTGTAGTAGAGGTATGCATCTCAGAGAATATAATACAAAATTTCACATTCACTTACCTTAATCGAGTTACAACTTGCAACACCGGGAAATCAGTAGGTAAATTAAAACTACTGTTCAGTGTGTTTTTAACTTATTCTAAGATAAAATTAAATTAAGTAAAAATATAGTGTTGATGTTTGAAGATATCAACCCATAATAACGTTGCCCTTCACTTGTGTTGCAAAAGTAATTTTCCTAATATGATAAAATGTAAAGTATTCTCCTTTGCTTGTTTCTGTTGTTAAATCAGATTTTCCTGCTTAGTAGCCTATGAAGCCTGGCAAATTTAGCAACATTCTCATTATGTGCAATCATGTAATTTGTTTCATCATGTGGAAGATGCTATTTGAAGCTATGGCTGTTCAATTTGCCTAATTTCAGTTACACTTTTTAAACCACTTATTCTGAAGCTACAGCCTAGGAATCACCTATGTGCTGAGGGATCTTGGGTTATCTGTAGATCCTGCCAGGGCCTCGGCTTCAAAGGGACTCAGGGTTGCAGCTCTGCAGCATTCATTGCAGGTTTGAAACAACGCATTAAGATACATCAAGGGTGACAGAGCACCACTTTTGGGTCTGTTTCTGGATGATGTGTTGAGTCATAAAAAACAAGTTGTGAACCACTTCCAAAACTATGCCAAAAGAATACTTACCCTCTCAAAACCAGGCAATGATATGCAATGGGCAATATGAACATTTTGAAGTTTAATTTCTGTTGTCAAAGGTAAAATAAGCTTAAAGCTCCTTTGCATATTGCCACAGAATCTATGCCTGCGTCTACATTAGCATTTAGTTTAAAGCAGGAGTGCATGTTGTATTTTGTTGGTGGTGGTTTTGGGTTTTTGTTTGTCTGGGGCTTTTTTTAGGCAAGGTTCCCAAATGTTCGTACTTATTGCGTGTTGGTTCATCTTGTAGAGCAATCTTACCTAGCACAGATGGGATTCCTTTCAGATGAAATAGAGGATGCACTCTGGGAGCACTTGATGTATTAGAGCCATTAATTGATATTGAGGTCATGGGACCAGGCTAGAGCTCTTCGGAAGTAACACCACCGAAAACATGCATAGTGTAAACATTAGGTCTATAGTACCTGCTTCACTCTGCAGATCTGTTCCTATTTGTGTCATTTACTACAGAGTTTTTTTGAAAGGGCCATGAAAGTAGTGAAGAAACAAATAATTTTTGCAATGAAACAGATCCAAATTGCTTGCATTTTCCACATAAGATAAGGATTTCTGAATTCTGCCAAATGCTCATTCAATACATTTGTATCATCTCATAGGAACATGTAATAAGGTCCTCTTCCTGAATTATTATGAGTCACTTGTACTGCTTAACATCTTCATTTTTTTTCCCTGCCAAGCCATCAAGTAAATGACTTTTTATCATTTTCTATTTAAGACATGTCATGTTATCATTTCACTGATTTGACTTGTGCATTTTCTATTTTGAATGTGACAGGAAGCTCCAATGTAGCGGAATAGGGGAAAATTTCATTAAACAGGTCTATTTCAATGTTGACTTTATCTCATGAATTACAATATCCTGTTGATGAGAAGTGTGTTATTTTATTATTGCTGCTGCAGCAAACCAAAAGTGTTTTGAGCTGCCAGGGAAAGGAAAATCTGTCAGGTGTATACTGACAATAACCACCAGTATTGGAGGATTAAGCATGAAGAGAGTTTGCTCACATAAATTTAAGAACACTTTTAAAATTGCTGCTGCTTCTATAAACTTATATGTATTCACACTGAACATTCTAACTCTAAACTAAAGCTTCTTGATCTTCTGGGTGACATGCTTTTGTGATGAATTCTACACCATAACTAAGGTTAGTTACAATCCTATTTTTTTGCCTTCTGCACCAGAACTTTGTAAGCAGGTTCAGGGCGCAGAGTCTTGCCGCTGTAGAGAAACTAGTATGTGAATTCAGTCCTTATGGAGAAAAAAGAGATCTCATTTCATATTCTCCAAGGTCTAATTTAGAAAGAAAAGGGAAAATGCACAACATGCTGCAGTGTAAAAAAGATCTATAGGGCAATGCTTAAAACATGGTACAGTTCTAAATAGTGCACTTTTGCATGTGAATCATTCATTATTGAATACTGCTAAATTTAAGAGAAATAACAGGATCTTACATATGAGTTGAAAGATACACATATTTTAGTCTCTTTTGCTTTTGTTTTTACTACTATTGTGAGAGAGTTGTTTTATAAAATATCAACTTTAATTCACTAAAATCAATATTTATTTATTTTTATAGTGGCCTTAAACTTCCAGACACCGGGAGTACCAATGGAATTGCAAAATGGAAAATTCCTAGACAATGGTCGTTGTGGCTATATTCTGAAACCAGAATTCTTGAGAAATCGCAATTCAACATTTACCCCACACAATGTGGGGAGATACAGTAAACCAATATCTCTGTCAATAAGGGTAAGCTTAGTTAATTTTTGGTATGTTTTGGTTTTGGGTTTTTTTTCCCCCCCATAAAATGTGAAAACAAATATTATGTAGTTCAGAACTATTGGCTATCTATTATTGGTTTCTCATTTTATCCCCATTCCTGGTTGTTGGGAAGTTTAATATTGTTTATTAATAACATGTTAAAACTCTCATATAATATCTACTGCTGCTTGGATGGTTTTCCATCTGTAGTTCACTTAAGTGTGCTAAAAATATGTAGAGTTCAGAAGTTATAAGAGTTTGTAAAAATACATGATTTTTCACAATGTTGTGTACAGAAACAGAAATATACCTTGCATTGTGTCACAAGTGTAGCTGACAAAGGGACTTTGAAAACTCAGAAATAGAATGCACACTTTTGGTGTTATTTTCTTTAAGTATTAGTAATACCACATGTGCTGTTATAATGCTAAGTGACAAATGGAAATGTTTAAACATATGATAGGAGGCTTTATGCTTCTTTTATGTTTCATTATCTTCCTATGCATACATGAAAGACTATTTATCATCCTAAAATGATATAAATAAGTGTAAAAAGGGGAATGAATCAATAAGCTTTTGAATTATTTCTACTTCTCCCAAATTCAAATATCTGATTTTATTCTTAAAAATATTAGAAATACATGTCATTTAAAACTAATGGGTTAGAAAAACCCTTCTTTTGAGGTCAAGTAGATGTTTTGTAATTGTTCAGTAGTTAGAAAACTACCTTCTCCGATGAAAAAGTTCTATTTCTGATTACACAGTACACTACTTGCATAAACGCTATTTGATTAGCATAAAATTATTGTATAATTGCTATTTTGTTTCTTTCAGAGAAATAGTGGAGATAAAACATTAGCTAATAACAATTATAAAATACTCACATAATGCATGCACCTAATCAAGAACATTTTAGTGTCCTAACAGTGAGCATACCAATTATGAATAGGCTTTACTGGATGGTTTCAAGCACCCATGCATATACATCAGTTATTTTAGCCCTTATTTGTATAAAGCTGGAGTTAATTAAGATGAGGAAAAATCCCCAACTGTAATGCAGGATACAGACAAAACCATCAAAGGGGAAGGAAATGTCTGATATAGCAGAAGTTGGAAAAGAGAAAGGCAGCTTTCTAGACTGAGACAACAGGCTGGGTAGTGCAGGATACAAAGCTACAAAGTCCCACCAGCTGCGGGACTGCAAGGTGCAGACAGCCCCTTTCATAGAGTCAGGGGATGGTGGTTGAAGACAAAAAGAGTCAGGGGCAGGAGTCAAAGGAAAAGCAGTTTCTGCTAAAGAAGAGTTAGTAACTTAATGAATGGAGAAATTACTTAACAGAGGGCAAAGGTACAAAGTATGTAGAGGTCAAATCTCTCTGACTGACTCTGAATGAATGAATGAATGAATGAAGAGAAGAACACAAGGGAACACAAAAATCACACAGGGCCCAATTTTACTGAATTCAATACTCTTCTTAACCTGATGGTTACCTTTCTCAACAAGAAGCATATAGCCTTTGAAGCAGAACTACAAATATTCAAGATATTTCATCTGGAAACTTCTGACCCTACCATGTTATTTACTAGTCTGTCTGTATGTCTGCTTCATCTTGGGTCTCAAAAATTGATTGGATTTATGGCTTTGGGTCATAATGTGCAGAAAACAACTCATTGTTTTGTTACTATGAAAGACAAAGAAAGCAAGTGAGACACTCTGCTACATACCCTGTAACGCAAAGCTGATGTCACTGTGGATGTTCGTGCTGGTTCACTAGACACAGCTTTAATAGGAATTTAGGAGCTTGATCTCAGAAAATGCAAAAATCATGTGACTGATTCCTTCAACATTACTATTTTGCATGGTAACCAAATATATATTTTTATGGGTATTCAATAAAAAAGCTTAAATCTGAAAATTATTGTTTAAAGCATGATATCAGATTTTTTTTTTTTTTTTCTTTTTTACAATGAGGGTGGTGAGACACTGGAACAGTTTGCCCTGAGTGGTGGTAGCTGCCCCATCCCTGGAAACATTCAAAGTCAGGTTGGACGGGGCTCTGAGCAACCTGATCTAGTTGAAGATGTTCCTGCTCATTGCAGGGGGTGGTTGGACTAGCTGACCTTTGAAGGTCCCTTCCAACCCAAACTACTCTATGATTCTATGGTTCTATGAAATTAGCCAAGAATTAAATTAAATGGGAAGTACCATATTCTTAATTTCATTACATTTAATATGTATTTTTCTAACAGTTTATGGCTGGTAAATGCTTCTTATAGTAGTTTCTTAGGGAACAGTTTTTGCTACTATGATGTCTACTATATGGCTACTATATAACGTTCATTCTTACAGTCATTTCAATACATTATATTACAACTTTAATTTTGCAGCTCATCAGTGGTCATCAGTTACCACCCAGTAACCTGTCGAAGACTAACAAAGCTGACCCTTTAGTGCAGATAGAAATTTATGGTGTGCCAGAAGATCAAACAAAAAAAAAATCTAGTGTTATAAAAAGCAATGGTGAGTATCAGTCTTATTCTCTGTGAACAAAGCACAATAATATTTTGTAAGGAATTACTATTTTTCCATGCCAAGAAGCTGTTGTGTACTTACAAAGACTGCAATTATTTCTCTCTAGACTAGGATCTTCTGGCACAAAATCTGTAGCAGAAATTCATGCTATGGGCCACTTTTATAGACTAGTAGGTTAAGGAAGCACAAACTCTCTTAGTTAGTAGCATTCACCTGAAGGAAAATGGAGCGCATTGTCTTTACTCGCTATTGTGGGCTCATCCTGGACAGCGGCTCAGCCCCACACAGCCGCTTGCTCAGTCTCCCCCAGTGGGATGGCTGAGAAAACTCTTGGGTTGAGATCAAGACAGTTTAATAGATAATGCAAAAGCTGCATGTGCAAGCAAAGCAAAATAAAGAATTCATTCACCAATTCCCATCGGCAGGCAGACGTTTAGCCATTTCCAATCTGAAACATAGCACCATACCAGCTGATATGAAGAAAATTAACCCTGTCCCAGTCCAAACCAGTACAGTAATTGTAAATTTAAAGGCATTTTTTCTGAAGAAATTTCTGTGACTTCATCACTTAGCTCATACGAAGTTTCTAGTAGGACTAGTGCCTTAATTGCTTGACAGGTGAAGTGTGCACTCTTTGTAGTTATCTTCAAGCACTTTCTCACCTTTATCACATAGATGTTCTTGATGTCTCAGACTAAAGGTTCCCTATGATCTCCCTTCTTCTGTGCCTCTGTCTTCTATATTTCATTTTTCCTTTTTGTAGATGACTGTTTTAAATCGGCCCCTGAATGCCTTTTCTCTCTGTATGAATATTGCTCAAGACAAAGCACCCCCCCTCCTCTTCCATATCCTCTTTTTAGATTTTTAGTCAAGTGATCGCTTTACTACCTTAATTTATTTAGCTTCTGCCTCATTTCCAACACTATGAAAGGAGAAACACTGGCAAAAATATGAAACTTGTATGGCTATAGGAAATTTTAAGTTGAGCAGAAGTTCTTAATCTGGCATTGCTGTCCCATTTCACTCTCTAGAAGAGAGGCTTTTGATTTACAGTATTATGTAGCAAATACATGACAAATCCTTAGAAGGATACTGTAGGCAAGTCCCAAGCTCTCTATGTTTGCTTCATTCTGAGAACTTCCCTCTGACAGTTTTAACTCCATAATCTACACAAAAGATGTTACATATATATCACTGCAGTCAGTGGGAGTCTCATCATTTATTTAAATGGGGACAGAAATCTAGGGAAAAAGTAGGAATCTCTACAAGTTCAGAGTAGTAATAGCAGATACAATAATTCAGATATTAAGCAGAATAAATGAAATGGTATTTTGATACTGTGGATTTTCTCTTTTCATTAGCTTTGAGCCCTAGATGGAATGAAACATTCTCATTTACCATCCAAGTTCCAGAACTGGCATTGATACGCTTCTGTGTGAAGGATGAGATATCTCTGGTTGCAAATGAATTCCTTGGTCAATACACTTTACCACTGCTGAGCCTGAGTAAAGGTAATATTTTTAAGTGACCCACCTATAACAGCTCAAAAAAATCTACAACTTTCCAGGCTTTTATCAAGAAGAGGAGAGAGATTAGTCAGAACTACTATAAAGACAAGTTTTGTGCACTTTCTCCTTAGTGCGTAATACAAGCTAAATTGAAACATAATACAAGCTCGAAACATAATACAAGCCAAATTGAAACAAAACAAACAAACCCCTCACATAATCTATCTGCAACTTTTCAGAGTGGAGAACACAGAATATAAACTAAGCAAAATATTTATGTTATTTTTCTTGGTAGTGTTTCTTTTATTGTACCAGTATAGCTTATGGAATCTTACGTGATTAATAGCTTGCACATAAAGAACAGACACAGAAGTTAGTAGGCCAAGGAGAAAAGCTTATGTAAAATGACTGTTTACTATATTGAATTTCCAAAGCTATTTCTGACAAAACAAACAACCAACTTTTTTATTAGTGAATGAAGATGTGAAGGCAAAACACTGGAGCTGGTAATGGGCACTGTGCTTTTTTTATTAAGCTTAACAGGATTTTGAATGGCTTTTTTTTTCCAGGTTCTGAAGTCATAAAGGTGTTTGTGATTCCTAGCTGAGGTTGAGGAGTAACACAAGAACAAAGAAAGACATTACTCTTAAAGCACACTTACTTTTCTCCAACATAAATTTTTACACTGATCACCTTTTACTTTCCTTTTCTTTGTATATTTCAGGATAATGAAAAAAACACCCACCAACTCATGATGTCTGAGACAAATTTAAATAGCAGACACTGAAGCTTGCATATGCTTGCAAAAAATGTCAGTTTGGGCTTTTTTTAATTTTATAAATTTTCATTTATAAATTCATATATAAATGTGTCTCTAATGTGGCTGTATGATTAATTTTGGTCACAAATAGGGATTCATATTTTTGAAAAGAGCATGCAGATTCTACAGGGAAGTTGAGTGGAGTAATTAAAAATACTAGCTAATAAGTGTAGGTACAAAAACTATAAACAGTGCCAAACAAATCGCCCCAATCTCCACTTAAGACAATGTAAAAAAAAAATATAAGATGCCATCAATATACCCAAAGGCATAAATAAAATTCTTCTAAGAGATGAACTGACAGATCATTTCAAACTTTATTGCAATGCTTAACATTGAGACGTCTGAATTCCAGATCTGGAACCATAGTTTTGCTTTAGGTCCCTAAGCTCCCTAAATAGTGAAAGGGGAATGTGTCTTACAGCGGGAGTCATAGCAGTCTAGAATTCTTAGGAAAGAACTGTCTAAACCATGCTAAAGAGCAAATTAGGGTTTAAATCTTACTCTTTGCAGCCCCGATTGCTTTAATCTGCACTACAGGACTGTCCCTCCTTCCCTAGGATTCATATCCCTGAGGTGTCAACTGAGGGCATGTTGCTTCCAAAAGCTGAGCAGTGCTTACATCTTTTTTTTTTTTTTTTTTTTTTTTGTCTTTGATAGAGAGTGGGACAAAGTTGTGCCACTGCCACCCTCCTCTGCATTTTCTCTTGAAAAGATTCAAATGTATATCATCGCTTCCTTCCTTTCCCCAGCAGCAGCCTACCAACTCAGCTGTAGATTGCACTGGGGAAGAATGCTTGCCGCTCACCTGTAGCAGTATTTGATTTTTCATGCAGTGATTAAATAGGTATACTCAGAGGGGCTGAAGGTGAGGATAATCCTTTAGCTGAGTGGTTAAAGGTGAGAGGAGTGGAGTCCTGGGCTGCAGTCTCTGTCCCAATGAGCCTGCCATGTAGAATACTAATACAGGAAGGACAGGAATTCAATTGTTACTGCCATTATCACTGGATCAACGATTAATTAATTATTTCATACAAGCTGGAACAACTTTAATGAAAAAAAAGTTTTACTTCTCTCAGGACACTTTATAGAATATTCTCTAGGGCTAGAAGACAGACTTTAAACAGGAGTCGTAGTCCTTGAAGTGTGTTTTTGGATGGGAAATAAACAGTGTCTTCTGCATACTCTGTGCATGCTCTAAAAGTTGATCTCAAATGCTCAGTGCTTGGACTCAGTTTTAATATCTGCTGCCCAGAAGCTGAACCTTAGATGCCAGGTGAACTTTCATGTCATATAAAAGATTCAAGAAAATCCAAACCCAAATAAATGAGGGTACCAAGACTACACACACATCCAGACACAACTAAAGAAGGATTTTGAAAACTGCAGTTCTGAATGTAGATACTTATTCATAATAAATACTTACTTGAATAACTGCAGTTATATATACATAGATAAAACACAGAATATTTTTTTAATTGAAAGTGACATTGTTTATTATTATGAAATAATAATTTGCAGTCATATAAAGCAATACAGATATGGGGTTTTGGAGAGGGAATTATTTTGTTTTCCGAGCGGGTAAGTAAAGTTTGAAGTTGAAAACTACAGTTTCTCCAAATGTTTCCGCTCACCAGATGAACGTGTAGTTCTTTGAGGCATGTCTTATCTCTGATACTGGGAATCACTCTCATATGTAAAAGGAGATCCTTAACAGGCTTAAGTAGAAGATGGTAGAAGATCTTACACTATACATTTTTTTCTGCCTCAGCTGGACAGTACATTGCTGCTGCAACACCATTTTTCTCTAAGGCTCTACCTGTTGATTCACAAGTTATTTGATTTGCTAGAAGAACAATGTGTGCAGCATGTAACATCTTTGGATGTTAAAATGTATGCTTTCCCCATGTTTAAATATCACTGGGCTAAAAGTCTTCAGTTTGAAAACACACCACATTCTGAAAGACTCTGGAGTTTTTCTGTGTCCAAAAATGCCAGAATTGAAATACTGTATATGTAGAGGAGAAAACCAGTAGAAATGGGACTTGGCCTCTGTTTAATTTCAGTTTATTTTAAAAAGTTATTTAGAGAATCATAAATTATGCCTTGTTGCATAGTAGATCATAAAACCACTCCATTATGATGGAGTTGCATTTGCAGCTAATGCATCTTTGCATTTGCAGTTAATACACTAATCAAGTGTCATTATATTTACAGGTTACCGTAACGTTCCCCTCTTGTCCAAAGATGGTGACAATCTCGATGCTGCCTCGCTGTTTGTTCATGTCTGGTACTATTAATGATGCTCTGCTGTAGCAGCTGTTCTGGAGGATCACACCCTTCTCAATAAAGCATCATCACTAGGCTTGCAACAACCCAGTGGTCTGATTTTCAGAGTGGCACCTTCTCAATGATTTTATTAAGCTAATGGGATTTCTTGTGTGAGTAAATGGTATCCTGAATAAGTAATGGTTACTGATGTTGGCCCTATCATTATTTAGAATTAATTAATACAGACTGAACTTTTTTGGACATTTTTAAAATTCAGTTAATTAATAATTTCATTTGCAGCTAAATTCAAAATTATGAGTGAGAATAATAGTCTAATATTTATGATCTGAGACTGCAAAATTATGAGTGTGCTGCACTGATATTTTTATTTGTATTGAACAAAATTTCTTACCATTGTATCTTTCCATGGGAACAGGAAAAATTACACATACAATGTACCCTTTAAATTTCTAATAACAGTAGCTTCTGATTGGGGTATACGTCTTCAATGTCCACTGTAATTTTGCTACCTGGAAAAATAGTTTGGAGAAAAACCCTGGCTCTTAAAATGATAAAAACTCAGATGCTAATATTGGTACTTTTTCTTAGCTTAATCTTCAACCTCCTGCTGCTAAAGACAGACAAATAATTCACGGACTGATTTGTAAAGGGTTATGTTCCTCATAGCAGCAGGGAGCTCAGGATACGTCTTACTGTGAACTCAGAAAAGAGGAAGCACAATGCTTTGAGATGGACTAGAAGAATTTTAGAAAAGGCAAGGATTGATTGTGTGATTTAAGATCTCTTAGCATGCCTGACATAGCTGTCAGTGTAGCTCTTGCCCGTAAGACACAATTTCCCCATCTTCCTTAAAAACCTGAAGTATTGTTGAGCTTCCACAGGACTGTATCTACCTGTTAATTGTAGATTTGTTACTCAAACATGGCTTTTTATTAAAAAAAAAAGGATGTTTTATTGATAGGTTTATTTCTTTAATACTAAACAGTATTCCTTATGTTCACAGACAGTTCTGATAATGTATTTTAATGCTCTTTTTATTTAATGCCATTTTAATGCTATTTTATTTAATGCTGCTCTAAGATGGAAAATCAGGGCATGTGGTAAACAATGATTAGAAAATGTCACAGGAAATAGCACTAGTAGAAAATTGCATTATAGTTATAATAAGGAAACCAAGACAGTAGACTAAGAAGAATCTAAAATCAATACTGAACTGTAAGGTCAGGTAATTTGATAACATTGTAAGCTGGCCACAATGTGTTTTCTGTGCTTGAGTGACAAGTCACTTGATTCTTTACCCAGGAGAGCCTATAATCTAAAATGTTAGACTTACTGATTGTTGTAGTGATCATATCTGTATGCTAGCCAATATCCTTTTCATGTGGTAAATATTTTATAGCTTTTTTTCATCTCTGAAGAATACTACTAATAATATTCAAGCAGAGTTCCCCTTACCTCCCCTTACTGAGGAGCAGTTTAATTTCCCCAGGCAATCTCGTCTATCTATTCTCAGATAAAAACTGACCAAGTGACATAGTCAATTGGTTTGATGCTGAGAAAAACTCCAGGTTGTTTAGTTTCCTAAATAACACTCCTAGTCCCACTTCAGGAGCTTTATACAACATTGCCTCCTGAAGTCTGACTTGTGAGTGTCCTTTGGGGGAAGGCGGCAATTATCTTCAGCTTCGGCATTATTATCCCTCTGTTGACCACTTTTCCACCTGGTAGGACAAATGTCGGACCTACTCAGCATATCGTAACTTAAAATTTTCCAGCACATCAGATCAGAAATCAACATGTCTCCTGTGCCTTAAAAATGTGCCCTTGGTCCTAGAAAGGTATATATACATGGCCAACTATGTGTGTGTAAGAGGCTGGCAATAATGGACAGTTCATTATGGATGCTCACGTTAAATGCTTAAAGATGTGCTTAAGTGCTTCCTCAATTTAGGTAAAAATGCTTTGAAGAACAGAGCCCCTAATTAGTCTCAGTGAACTCAAAGGAACCACTTATGTTCATTGTTTAATATGTATTTATACATTTTATAGCCCTGAGGTCAATGCAGGTATTGACTTGATTCCCTTACGCAGCCTAAGAATGTAATGCGGTAAGACGAGTGAACAAAGATTCCTTGTAGCATGATCTTAAATAAATACCACACTGAAAGCTCACATTCAATATGTTTTATTTATTTGTGAATATTAGCTTCTCCCTCCTCCTTTCTTCTCACAAATGACCAGTTACATCTGCTTCTTGGATGTCAAAATAAAAGAAACGACGACATATCTTATCGACAAATTAATATCCTGGATTGAATGTTAGATTATATCAAAAGTTAAAAGCACACCAACATATACTACACAAAACAGGTAAAGTGCTAAGCTCTTAATTTTTTTTTTTAAATGTATTGATTGTATAAGATATAACACGAAATTTGCTAGACATCTGAAATATATTGGCACCTAGAGAACTGTTCCATGGTTCTCTGGTGAAATCATCATACGCCGCGAGGTCATAGCAGATGCTGATAAATTACACCATTATCAGCATTGTTTCAACAGTCAGTGGAATTAATGGGCAAAGAATTAGGCCCCACACTTCGACCTGTACAGAATTTAGTATTTTTACAGTACTATTTAACGAACAAAATAAAAATCTTTATTGCTCTCATATAATTTTCTGCATGCTGCTACAAGTTCTTAGCATGCGATTTCTTAAACTCACACTGACAGGAATCAGTCGCAGGAAGATGGTAGCAATTTTAAGACAATAGCCTTATGATTAGAAATGTTAAGGTATGTGATCAGCAGATGACTGCGTATTCTCAAGGGCAACCAAGACAAAAGGTACCGTGGGAAATGGGATAAAGAAACATCAGTGGATAAATAATTGAATTATCTTAGACAACATTTAAATCACACTGTTTCCCAGTGGATACCATTTTTCTTCATTTAAGTGGACACTGCTCAGTGGAATGTTAACAGCTCCCACAAATGTTCCTTTGCTTTTCACAACAAGCTTCAGTATATGGCCTTTGAGCTCTGTGACTTTGTCGTACACAACCTGAAATAATATATAATGAAACAGAAAAAAATATGAATTTGTGAATCTATTTGACAGGCAAAACATTTACTTCAATAGAGCATTCAGGATGATTACAAAATTTGTAATAATTGCTTTAAACTGCCCTCCAGAATTATAAACTACTAACCATGAACCAAATTCACTGAAATTATTGAATTTGTCTCAGAAAAATATTTGACCTTATGTAGTTTATATAAAAGAGATTCTGCCAGCTTAGGCTTGTGAAATCTGATTACCACACATTTGTAAGTAAATTTGAAACCTGTGTTGCACAATCCTTGAGAAAAAAAAAATAGGTATGCATAATTTTCCCCGTGAAAATTGAAACTCTAACTTAAGCAGGGTTTTGAACTCAAATGTGAAGAAATATCAGATCCTCCATGAAGTTCACCAGGGAATGACAATACGGTTGATTTTCTGGAGGAGAGATTCGGGTGGAGGGTACTCATCAAGGACAGAAGCATGAAAACATAAGATAGGTAATTCTGTAAAAGTGTAGATTATTATATATTTTTAATATGTTTCCATAGCAGATGCTTTGATAAATGGTATTGCTCTTCTGCAAAAATTAGAAAACAATAGGAAAACAGTTTTGAACTATTTTTTTTTAACCTATGTATATTGTATTTGTTACATGTTGCTTAGTAGTGCCTTAAAGCAACTTTAGGTTGCATTGATATGTCACATAAAGCTGTATCACATCAATGCACAGTACCTCAGAACTTCTACTGTACTTGTGATTAAATCTTGTGCTACATAACAGAATTAAAAAAGATCAAGCCAAAGCAAAACCAAATTTTATTCTAACCAAGACTTCCATAAAATTTCATAACTGTTCTAGATCCAACAAACATCATAAAATAGATAATAATTTTCCTTTGAAAATTCTCTGTATAAATTTTACTATTTCAATACAATAACTTTATGCGTGATTCTGGATGCTAACTGTATCCAAATGTGCCCATTATAAACATACTTGCATTTTTAATGAAATCATCAAATATTAAACATGACAGAAAGCTCAGCCCACTCAGTAGAAGTTGTAGATGTGGAACATCTCTGAGATTGGACCCAATTTAGCAAGTGGAACTTACTAAATTTGGATGTTTCTGTTACTCAAGAAGCAGTGTTAATACTTCTCAAATTAAATGAGACAGCTTGCTTAGCATCTCTTTAGAAAATTACTAAGGCCTGTAGTTCTTAAAATATCCTTGAAATTACCTTAATACTATGAGAACACACTGGTGTTAATTATGAAATGTTAATAGTGTATTTTCTGAATTTTAAAAAACAATCATCTGGAGTGATGGGCTAACAAGAATGAGCTGCATTCAGAACAGATTCCTATGTTTCAGTCCCTGCATTAATCAAAAACTGCTGAGTGTTTGGTTGATAAAATGTCAGTTGATAAAATGTGAAAGAATGCTCTCAGCTAGTTTCAGGCCTGAAAGGTAAGATTTGTTGAGAGAAGTACCTTTAATCTAAAATTTGTATGGCTGGAAATGTTTTTGCCATTTTAGTTGCAATGGAAAAACCTATAAATTTTAATATCTCTGTGCAGCTTAAAAAGCAAACTCGGTGACACGCTGTCACTTCAGGAGAACGGGAAAGTGAAACTGCCTAAAAGGAGTTTGCCATGCAACCTGCTTGCATTTGCTGTGCAATCTGAATGCAGTCTGTATGTGTGGCACTGCTGAGGAAAAGCAAAATCAGACCGAGCCCCCTCTAGCTTGGATCTCTGCGGGCTGGACTGCTGAGTCCTCTCTGTACCTCTGATTATAAAGAAGCAGAAACGGCCATGGGAGACATCCTTCAGATAGGGATAGAGTTTGTAAAGGCTCAGCCCCAGCAACGTTCCTCACACGGAGTGGCAACAGAAGGGTGGTTCTGAACTTCATGGGTGGACCCAGGAGGCATAAAATTGTTGGTTCTCCCAGACAACCCTAGCTGGTGGCAGCTGCCCCGTGGGACCACTGCATGATTTTGTCTGCACTACAA